GAGAGAGGGAGAGAGAGAGAGAGAGATGTCAGCCTATGACTCTGCCACCATCTTACAGCCGCTCAGAAACAACTTGAAATCCAGACAGAAGCTATGCCACAGTGGATCGCGCGCTCAGACAGATACACAGATCTGAGGAAAGACGTTGGTTCTCGATATTCGTGGTCGACGGCAGAAACCCACGGAGTCAAATTGTCAGTGTCAATGCCATTGTCAATGTCTATGTCCGTGCCAATTTAGTTTAGATTTTTAGTTTTTGTAAGAATTTTACCGTACTTTCAAAGCTATTGGGCTGTGTGAGTGCCGAAGCTTAGTAGTACATGTATTTCTAGAGAGTCGTGTACAAAGAAAAGAAGGAGATGAGATTTTAATGACAAAATTAAAACACTATGTTTAATAAGAAAGAAAGAGCGAACAACACCAGAGCGCCCGCCAGCTACCAGCTTTGTGACAATGTCAGATGTTGTTTCTATCTTGGCATATCTTATCATCGGTTTTTTTCCTTGTCCAATTTAACAGATCGGCGCCATCTGATTAGTGTAACGTTGTGCAGGTGATATGTTAGATAATAATACAGTCAACACACGGTTATGATAAGGTTAGTTTTGTAGTTGGTAAAATATACACTGTTACTTTTTCTTGCTTCATCCCCCAAGGAATTCCTACAAGTTAAAAATAGTTTCAGAATAATAATCAAAATTTTGATATTGATAGCACAATCAATGATATCATATTATACTTCAAGCTATGCAAATAGTTGGAATGTTGAAGCGTATTAATGATCCCCTGATGCTGATGATGTTGCTGATATGATGAGGTTGATAGAGTTACGGCAAAGATGTAAATAAAGAACTTGATATTCTTGATTAGAAGAAGATCTAGACAGATTTAAGAGAAAGAAACACTATAAATTTTCGGAATATTGTTTCTTGGAGGTATTGTTAGTCTTGTCATCATCTTTATCATTCTTTGTTGGGTTGGGGGGGGGGGTTCGTTTTAAAAGTTATTAGCTTTCAGAATATTGTATCTTGAAGTTAATGTTAACGCTATTCTCCTCATATCATCTGTTGTTATAATTTTCGTTACACAGAGTCGTTGCCTGAGTCAGCAAGCCGGCAAGTATCATGGTGTTGGTCAATGCTAATGTCAGAAGGTTTCTGTCTTACCTTGATCTTGTCACTGCTTTGCAACACTGTCTGTGTGGGAGAACTACTGGCTGTATACTATGTCCATACCAGTCAGCTGTTGGACTTTGTCTGTCTGTGTGTGTGAGTGGGACTGGACACTCACTCATTCACTGGCGGGCTGGCTGGCTGGCTGGCTCACGGCACGCGCACCTCGCCACTGAAG